AGAGCTTCCGGAAAGCTCTCATTTATCAGAAGAAATACTTGCTGCTGTTACTGGGTGGATTCCAGGAGTGCGAAGAAGCCACGCTGGCCCTCATTGCACGGATGGGTGGGCAGCCCTCTTACACAGACCTTGAGATCATCACACATCATTCAAAGGGTTTCACAAGATTTCGCTCTGCAGTCAGAGTGTCCATTGCAATTTCAAGGTAAGCTGGAGGAAGTTTGGTTTCAGACAGATGCATGCACTGAATCTGTAAGTGGGGCTTTTTCTCATAACACTCTGCTGTTACAATGTGGGGAATGTAGCAGGGCAAAAAGTATGTTTAGTGCCGGTTGAACATGCCGATGCCCTGCTCTGCATGGCATGAGCCATTTGCTGTCTGTTCTGCCTTATGCAGCACCTTTGGAATCACTGCAATAGCAGAGAATAAACTGAAAGCATCCAGGCTGGATGTGGCTCTGGGCAGCCTGGTCTGGTGGTTGGCGACCCTGCACTTAGCAGGAGGGTTGAAACTAGATGATCATTGTGGTCCTTTTCAACCCAGGCCATTCTATGACTTGACAGCAGAGAGTTTGCAGAGGCTCTAGGGATGTGTGTAAGGAAGTTTTCTACCTAATCGTTACGCTTTCAGTGCACATCCATTAATTTTATTTGGCTTTCAAGAAATTCTTACACCTTCTAGAATATAAAAAGCAGAGTATGTGCTTAAATGATTGCTTCCTTTAGCCTGAAGTTTAGGTTTGTGGTTATTTTGTTTTTCAATTCCAGAATGAAGTTCCTGGTTCGTCGATGGCAAAGAGTTACGGGTTCTGGTATCTTAAGCCTCAATAGAGATGTCTTTAGCCAGAACGCAGGTAAACTGTAGCCCAGTAACGACTGAAAAATGTTATTCTCAAGTCACACTGCTGCTTAGTGTAGGTGGCTTTGATTTGCATTGTCTTGTACAACAACTGGGCTGCTGTGCCCCCTTCTTTTTGTCATAGTTGATTGGATTTACTTGTTTCTCAGGTTCCTGGAAGTTTCAACATCTGACATGACCACTGATCTGTTTGCTGTCTCTTCAGTCTGTTTTTTTGCACTCTTGTGGGTGGGATTATAAACAAAATCCGACAACTTCCCAAACAGTGTGTGTTTGTAAGACCACAGCTACGTGCATCTGTGGGTTTCTCTTGAGGCCTGCGTTCTGAGAGGGAGCACCAAGGGCAGGGGCAGGCAGAGGAATCTGAGATGTGTGGAGTGGCTGTCCTGTGTGTTTACACTGCAGCGCCCTTTTCAAGCTCTAGGCCAGCAGCAAACTGTTGCTCTTGCTTTTTAATTAATTTCACTTGCTTTTAAATGGCAACAAAAAACCTGTTTCTTGCTAAACCCCATTTTTGCAAAATGGAGACAGAAAACTTGCACTTACAATTCCCAGTAATGTGCATAAGGTATTACATCTTTCTTTGCTTTTTAGTTTTCAAGACACTGGATTTTCTACTTCTAGGTAATGAATTGCGGCCTGACTCATTCTCCAGTGGCATGGATCTCTATGGAGAACAAAGGCATTCCTATAGATCCCGATCAGATATGGAGTCTCCCAGATCTCCTATAAACTTTCAACAAAAGTGAGTTCTGTTTCAGACGACGATTCGCTATCAGGATGCCGTTCAGCTGCACGAACATGTCAGCAGTCACTGATGAGGTTCATAATCTTTGATGCCAGAAGTCTTTTAACATTTGTTTTCCATAAGGAAACATAACCAAGTGCATCTCAGACCTTTGATGTGCACCTACTCATTGCCTGATTAAGGCCAATGCTTGCAGGCGTTTCTGTATGACTGCTGCTGTGTTCTTGGCAGAATTTGTGCACTGGGTGAAAGTGATCTGCACAGTTTTGGCTTTGAGAAGCCAACCTCAGCTGCCTGTGGGCTCTGAGATTTCCCGCAGATTGGATTTGAGTCATTTGGGATCTCTGTTTTTATATGAACCACCTCAACATCTGTAACCTCAGTTTGTGGCAATCATAATGCTTTACATAAAAAAGATATTTAATCTATTTTAGCCACTTATGACTTACAGAAAGTACCAAAGAAAGCCAGAATCCCATACAGAAGACTGTCCTTGTTTGCACAAGCTTCTTAATAGAAAATCTACTACAGCTTCTGCTGCAGTCTCAGTAGGAATTTGCAGTCTTGATCCCAGAGAAATGCAGAAACAGATCAGATGCAGTGGAACGAAAATGCAGTTGGGCAAGGAGGTTCTTCTGGGGGAGGCACTGTATTGTGATAGGACCAGGGAAAATACAAGAAATGAGTGTTTTACAGTAAGGGCGGTGAGGCACTGGAACAGGCTGCCCAGAGAGGTGGTAGGTGCCCCATCCCTGGAGACAAGTCAGGCTGGACGGGGCTCCGAGCACCTGATGCAGCGGCAGGTTTCCCTGCTCACTGCAGTGGAGTTGGACCAGATGGCCTTTGAAGGTCCTTTCCTCCTCCAATGATTCTGTGATGGCTGGAGCAGTGAGTGGCAGGGAACTCCAGTGGGCGTGGTGTTCTGCCTGCTGTGTGGGCAAGGCAGCGGACACGCGCCCTGCCAGGCCTCTCTGCTTACAGTGCCCTGCTATGTCTGCTGATTCTTTTTGATCTGACGTTTTGGTTTTGAAAAGCATCTGTGTTCTTCTGCCCCCAGGTTCCACAGTATGCAGGCTGACTTGAACCCAGTCTCTTTCGCGTGTTCTCAGCTGCAGAACTATGATCCAGAAAGAGCTTTAACAGATTACATCCACCGCCTGGAGGCACTGCAAAGGCGGCTCGGAAGCGTGCAGTCAGGTATGAGTTGGGGCACAGTTCCAAGCTAGAAGGCACGTGCTGGCGCTGAGATGTGTACAGACGTCTGGTTTGGGGCACTTTCAGCCTTGAACAGCAGGTTATTCTGTACTGCAGCAAGCCCACTGAAAAGAACGTGATCCAGTTCTTTGAAGGGAGGCCTGCCCAGGTGTGCTTCAGTAACAGATTTGGAGTTTATCGGTGCCATGTTGATTTTCACCGGTCTCATAAATGTGTGATAAGAATTCTGTGTGTCTCTTTAAGAGGTTAAGTGAGGTGGAGAAAAGCATACCCTAAGGATTGGAGAGTTGGGGTGCAAGAGCAATTCTTTTCTATCACTAGGATTATAGAAGTGACAGCCTTTTTGTCCCGCAGATGATAATTTTTTTTGCTATAAAGGGAATCAAGAAAATCAGTGGGGCCTGATTTATCAAACAGAGGGTGGGGCTGAGTTATGGAAATTACTGTGGTAAAGTCTTATTTTAGCATAAAATCCGTCCTTTGAAGATTTGTTTTTAAATGATTTCCTGCATAAAACCTTTCCCACTCATTCATCACAGTGACGCCGTTGTGAACCCTCAGCTCCTTATTCCACGTGCTCTGATTCAAATCTTTCTGTCTTACAGTGTCCACCTCATACACACAGCTGCACTCAGCTATGAGAAGATAATACCCTCTGCCCACTCCATCGCTGGCAGTGATGTCAATGGATTGATGCCTTCTGTAAACCCGTGCTCTTTCTGTGCTTTCTGTAACGTGTATCTGGTGGGACCAACACAAACACGGCTGTACGATCCTATACAGTTCCATCCTGGCACACCCATGCAGACTGGGGTTATGGGAGATTTATGTATATAAGCAATTCGTGGTCATGCAAAAAAAAAAATCATTAAATTACATGTATATTTGTGGAATGCTAATTTAAATGATTAACTTATGAAGTGTGTATTTATCAAGGGGGTGCAAAGATGAAACTTGTGTATTAATTACATTGAGCTCCGTTCAGAGAAGTTCACTTGCACTTTTTCTGGCAAGGCTACTGAAGTTACACAACTCTCCTCATATTTGCTACTGGCAGTGCAGACAGAATAGCACTTGTAGAGACCTATTTTTGTAATGGTAGAAGTTTTGAATTTTATGGGTATTTTGTCAAAGTACTGAAATAAAGATGACTTCATGCTTTTAACTGTGTTCTACTCTTGGAAAGTTCTTAAAATTGAAGAATCGTTCCCTTATTTAGGTTGAAAACCTCACTCCTAGGCATGCTCCTCCTGGCCGTGGCAGCCGTCTTGTCACCAATTGCAGAAGTGCTGCTACTTGACAGGAGGACAGGGGCAGGTTTGGTTTCTGCAGTTCCTGGCTGTACCTTTGGGGGCTGCAAGAGATTTGTGTCCTCTCCCTCAGTCGCTGTCATTGAGGTGAAAACAAAGGTCTGTGACAGTTTTACCGGGGTTAGAAGCAGCCTGGGTGAGCCCTTCCCTCAGGGAGCGCTGTAGGGAAGGAGGGGAAGCTCTGTGCATGATTGGCTAACTGTGTACTTAGATGCATTTTCTTTCTGGTAGTTACGAATTTAAGAACTGACAGCGTTAAGCAGAGGAAACTTCCACAAGAGGTTTCTTTACAAATTTTAATCAAAATTCCTATGAGCTGGAGCTCAAGACCGTTTATCACCACCACTTGTGAACCAAACACTATTCAACAATCCTGCAGGAGTCAATGCAAAGCATAACAGCATTCAGATATCTCACTTCATTTATGGATTATTTTCCAGGTAAACGTGTTATTTACTAGCGCTGTCGTCCTGTTGTTATTTCCATGCTTACACCAAGCTTTCAGAGATGGCTGCTTTTCACAGTTTACTTTAGAAAATTACTTGTAAAATACTTCGCTTCAGGAAGCTACAAGTGCTCCAAGTTAAACATTTAAATTGTTGAGTTACAGAACTTCCCTCTGAACACTTCTGCAGCCACCTCTACTCAGCCACACAGTGACAGTCTGTAATAATAATTAATTCCAAATAATTCCAAAAAGCAACCAGAATGCCACTTTTCAATCTGTGATTCTGTTTCAAAACAGGGCATGTGCATTGCCCTCAGTCCTTTGTACCTGATGGAGTTACTGTCGTTGGGCACAGAGGTAAGGTACAGTCATACCCCTCCTCATCTGGGGAAAGGCAACTGTCTGATGTTTTTTTGTTGGTTTTCTTTTTTCTATCAACTGGAATCTTTGCTTTAAAAAACATTTCTTCACTTAAAGGCCGGGGGGGAGGGAGGCATGCACACCTTAGAAGTGTTACACACATAGAAGACAGTTTTTCTTTCAATAAAAGCACCAAGAAATTGGTAGAACAAGCAGTTACACACAGCAACACTAAACGGTGTGGGGAAATGAACAAAACAGATGCAAAGAGAGTGCAGGCCTGTCTCTATACAGTACGTGGAACAGTTTCCATTTGCCATTCATTTCGTCACAATTATTTCACCAGAAGTCTGTTAGTTTGTACAATTCAAGGTTTTAGCTCCAGAACTTACAGTGCCCTCCTCTTATATCTGATAACTGGGTTATTAGGTGTATGTATCATGGTTGTATAATTTATACTTGGAAAGTAGTCATTGATGAGATCAAATTCATACAAACGAAGCAAAGTGGACCAGATAGTCTTGATCTGAACGTAAGCGAAGTTCTCTCCAATACAGCGATGACGGCCTAGGAGGAAACCCAGAGCAAGCAATCAGAACACCTCGTTATGCCATCGCCTCTGACTGCAGCTTCACTTGGAAAACGTCACGTGGACTGGAACTGCTTCTTTCTAAACAGGCTGAGGCCCTGATCCTACAGACGGACCATTGTGTCACTTCTAACATCTTGTTTCCATAAAGCTTTCGCTGCAGAGAACGTGGAACATTTTGAATGGGATTGTGTTGCCCTGTTTTCAGCAGAATGCACCCATTTGTGCAGCGCCGAGGAGGAGTTTCTAACGTTCAAAAACTGGCATTGACTATAACTGTATCGTGGTCAGATTTGCAAACTGTTCTGGCAGTTATGGATCTCTACATAAATTTTCGCTGCCTTAAAATGTTTTCATATTATGAGGCTTTTTTACCATGACTTTGAAAGACTTGAATAAAGTCAAATAAATGCTAACGTAAGGATTTCTTTTTCTTATTACTCTGAGCAACAGCCACAGGCACTATGATTGACTTCAATTCTTTAACAGCCCGTTCATACTAAGAAAAACTGAGGCAGAAGTAGAGAGAGAAGAAAAATCTCTGCGTGTGTTGCAGCACAGGGAAGTGCAGGGTGAGAGGAGCAGCCCGAGTCGCGTGCCACCGCTGGGCAAAATGCTTGCTTGCTCTGTGCCGCTGCTACTTACCAGCACCAAACGGAATGTAGGCAAACTTCTCCCCAGCTGCCGGGTTGTCCTGGAGATAGCGGTCAGGTTTGAAGTCCAGGGCGTCCTTCCAGGAGTCCTTCAGGCGTTGGTTGACGGTGGGGGACACGCAGACCTGATGGCCGGGGGGAATGCTGTATCCTGCGACCGTCTGCAAGGGCAGAGACAAGGCCCACACACCCGATTCCTCAGTTCTTACACTGGAAGCATTACCTGAAGTTCTGTATCCTTAGACTGGAATTTCAAAAGATGTTTTGGCTGGGCCAGTTTAAAATCAATGCAGCAAAGCACGTGTAAGTGGCAGATCTAAACTAAGAACTCAAGCAAGAATGACAGCTGGAAGAAAGGGTCAGTTCTGTTAGTATGGCTGGAAGGGGAACGTGGCACTTCACCTTCCCCAGGGGAGATGCGGACCTGGCACTTCCTATATACCCAAGTGGGCATTCAGCAGTTATTCTGCAACCTGAAAGTGTCCATAATTCACTTCTGCACATCTTCAGAGAGAACAACTATGCCTCTGATTATTTTCTGTGGGTTGTTATTTAGTTGTTTTAAATTAGTTTTCTAAACTCTAGCTCCCATCTTGTTTTATCCTTCAATAGGAAAATAAACCCAGAGCAGTACATTTCAGGATAAAGAAGCAGCCCACACCTACACCGAGTTCTTTCTAAAGTTGCACAATGTTCTCCTCTGGGGCTACTTATTGTCAGAACACACAACTGCTCCTTTTCACCCACATGAAAGATGGGGGCAATGAGGGTATCTACTAAAGGAAATGCTTTTGCTGCTTTTTCCACCTGAGCTGTGTGCTGGCCCATCACTCTCTCTTGCCCAGCAGCACCAGCATACACCTTGTGTCCAGTTCTGGGCTCCCTGGTTCAAGACAGACAGGAAACTACTGCAGAGAGTCTGGCAGAGGGCTGCACAGACAACTGGGGTCTGGAGCATCTCCCTTGTGAGGAAAGGCTGAGAGACCTGGGGCTGTTCAGCCTGGAGTAGACTGAGGGGGATCTTATCAGTCCTTGCAAATATCTGCAGGGTGGGATTCTAGTGGGTAGGTCTGGGCCCTTTTTAGTGGTGCCCAGTGACAGAACAAGAGGCAACGGCCACAAACTGGAACATAGGAAGTTCCATACCAACACATGGAAAAACTCCACTTCAAACATGTAACACGCACTGGAACAGACTGCCCAGAGAGGTTGTGGAGTCTCCTTCTGAGCAGGTATTCAAAACCCAGCTGGACACTTTCCTGTGCAATCTACTGTAGGAAGTTGCTTCATAAGGGGGTTGGACTGGATGATCTCCTTGCTGTGATAAAGACTACCTCACAATCACTTACATGCTGGTGACTTAAGAGCCACAAAGAAATCCCACTGACCAAAAAGCAACAAATGGAAGATAACCACAAGAACACCAGGGCACGAGATGAGACTCCTATGGGATTTAAGCTCTCACAATGGCAGAGTGAATGCCCGCCTCCAGTACCGTGCACCATTTCCTGTGGTCACTGCTGACTTGCTGCCCTTGTCAGCAGAGCTGCAAGGGGCTGGAGCAGATCAGGCTGTGCGGGACTTTGCCCAGTCAGTCATAAAAGCCAGCAGGGAGATTCCACAAGTGAAGTTAGATCCAAAAAGTGCACTCACCTGTGGAGTTTTGGCCAGTCTCATCATGGTCATTATAGGAGGTCTCAGCCTTAAGGTTTCTTTTAGGCAGCGATCTAACAAGCTGAGATCCTTGAGCTGCAAATATAAAGAAGATTAATATCAAAATACAGCTGAGCTCATTCAATTATTATTTTACGCCATGTAGAAGTCAATAACTAAAGAATAAGCGGCTCTTATTTATATGGACTTCATTTGCCACCCTGACAATTTTCCCTTGGATTCAATTACAACTAGCTGCTGTTCCATCTGACTAACCTGTCCTACAAGTGCTTTCTGATGCGTAACTAAAGAAAGAGATCACGCCACATTCCATTCCTCCTTTATGCAGCTCACTTTTTAAATAGAGCTTGTAGGAACTTCAGTTTCCATAGTAAACGCTGATTAAAAAAGAAATGGTAGCAGGCTGAAAAGTAACTCCAGAGAAAGAGAAGGAGACTCACCACCCAGTAGTGCCACTGCAGACTGCTTGTGAAGATTATGATTCCAACCCAAAACATACGGCCATACTGTCCATTGGTAAAAATACATATCCAGATCACAGTAACATCCATCAGAAATGATGCAGCATACAAACCTGTTCGTAAGTTAATGGTGGCAAATCATCTCCACAGACGGCTTTCTGCTCTGCGTAGCACTGCTCCTGTATCGCTTTGTCTCTGGCTATGAAGAAGCCCAGCCAGGCACTCGTGGTTGAGGATGTGTGCTGCCCTGCCAGCAGCAGCCCAATGAGCATCCCTGCTATCTCGTCATCTGTCAGTGGGCGGCCATCCCTACATCAAAGGGGATTAAGTCAGAGCTTCATTCAATCAGCTTTCCAGGTACAGCAGTATTTACAATTTCTCCTAATTTACTTCTTTCTACTCCTCATCAACTGCCCACTCCAAATTCAGCAGCTAAAAGTCTAGGGGTAGGCAAAAAAGAGAACCGTGGTGGGCAAAGTCCCTGGGAGCTTTGAAGAAAATCATTACAGAAAGCCAGCAACAAGAAAGAAAGTGGAAGCAGCAGCCTTACAACCACTGATAACGATCTCAGAAGTCAAGGTTAACATTTATAATTAGATTTTTCGGTCTGTTTTTAAGAACACCACTAGGATCAACTGCTGGCAATGAGGAATGCAGGACATGAGAATGTTTCTTGTTTTTGACAGAATGTTCTAAACAGCTCCAAGCTGAAGTAAAACATCTATTTATTTTCCTGTAAATTACAAGTCCCCAACCCCACTTTGCTTACTTGTATGAAGCATCAAGTAGAGTTTGGAGCATGTCATCCTCCTTCTCCTCAGAACTCCGACGCTTCTGGATAACCTTGTAGAAAATGTTCTTTATTTCTCTGTGTGCTCGGTCTCGACGCCTGCAATTCAGATCACTTCTGTTAGCAACTTCGTAAGAAACAACATGAAATCCTTGTAAGGATTTATAGGAATGTCTGAGACAGCTTCAAAACAAAAAATAGGAGAGAAAGAAAGAAAAGAAGAGGCTTAGATGAAATGCTCAAATTGCTACAATCTTCTTCCTGGTACCTGAAGCTGGGCAGAGGTAGCCAGGCTGGCAGAAGCCACGCAGCATGAGTAAAGCCCCCATCCAGGTCAGCATACAGCTGAGCCACCTTCTCATTTAGTAAGCTTCTTATTTCTTTCCCATGCAAGCAGTGACTTGCTGTCAAAATGATAAGTTCTGAAAAGGCTTCAAACAGGTCTGAGAAAAGATGTGGAAAAAATGTTACTGCAGATAAACTTTAGGCAAAATGTTACATTTTACAGATCATCACTTCAAATCTTGTAGAAGGGAAAAGCAAACAACCACCACACATACATTAACAATTTAAAACTGAGTTTTAGCTTGCTTTCCCCATAAAAGGAAGTATTTCATTTTGAATTTCCGTGGTTTTACTCAGGTCTTTCAATGAGTAACATTTTAATTACATTATTTGACTTCAATAACTTGTTTTCTAAGTTACTGTTTCTAGAGCTTTTTCTAGGAAAGCTGCTACCCCTTCCAAAGTAAACCATGCAGCACAAGCTCAACCCTTAACAAACATGGAAGTCATAGAAAAAGTTAAATTTGAAATCCAAAATCCATGTGTAAATAAGTAGTTTTGCAGCTTATTGAATTATTTCTCAGTATTTCTATCATTGCAGGCTTGCAACAGTACTGATGGGCTGTGACTAGTTGGGAAACAGGGGTGGGGAGGAAAGGAAATGCACTTACATCACTAAGCTCACCTTATCGCTCTGCAGATAACAACTGAGATCTCTGACACAGGCTCCAGGAAGCCAGAGCTGTGTCTTTTCAAAGGAACTACCAAACAGGCTGAACTGATTCACAGCATGCAAAATCAGCGTGATTCAGCCAGGCAACGCGTATGCTCTCTACTGTCAGACTAAGCAAAGAAGCAGAATTGTCCTCTGTTCCTGTCAATGATTTTCTGAGCACCTTTCTTCTCCAATAGCGTTAAATCTGATGAAACAAAACCTGTGTTTGGTGTGTTGTGATGTTAGAGCTTTGCCCTACAGCTCTTCTAATATTGCAGTAAAACATTCACAAAAACACACTGCTGCGTCCTGCATCAGCCTTCATTCCTTCCCAGAAAGTCTAAGTAACAATGCATCTGATGTTGCTTACTTCTTTCTCCACTCTCTCCCCAGGCTTTGAAATATTCCTTTGTTTCTTCTTCAATCAGAGTTACATGCTGCTTAAACTGAGCAATGTTTAGCCCAGTTTTGAGCATCTTCTTCTGTTCCAAAAATACCTAGAGGGATCAAAGGAGAAACAATCAGTAAAACGTTCATCATATTAACGTGATTAATAAACTCATTTCATATGTACTACAAAAATACATAAGAGTAAAAAGGAAATTAGGACTTAGAGTACAACAGAGCACCTTCCTCCTCTCCCACACAAACAACTTACACTGGCCTCGAGATGCACCTTGCTTTAAGAAGGCCCAGGAGCCTGACCTGGCAGCACGAAGCAAGCTATTTGCTAGGGAAGCTTTACACCCTTCTCCACACTTTTTCTGCAGATAGACTCATAGCTAAGAAAGGTACTGTAAAAAGCCCACTATTAGAAGAAAACCATCAAATGGGTTGATAGGACATCTACTCAGAAAATTATTCAATTAATTTTTAAGTCTTAGTTATAGATCAGAGTATTTGTCCCATAGAGCTGTACAGTACCATGGACAACTGACCAAAGATTGTCTTCCTACCAAGAGCTCTACACTTAGTGTGAAGTTATTTACAAAACAAAAAGCATAAAAGAAAGGCTGCTCGGCAGTAATTCCATTTTCAGAATGCAGTGGGCACACCCTGGCAGAGCAGGGGTGCAGGCATGTTTTCCCTTGCAACATGGCAGCCCATCTCTTATCTGGATGGAAAGCATACGGTAAGAACACACCCTACCAGTGCACTGCCTCCCAAAAACATGCTGCAAGAAGTTTGGAGGGAGAAGACAGAGAGGGAATCTGAACTGATATATAAACAATGCATATCAACAGACATCATTATCAGTCACAACTGATATTCAAACAAGTAGTCAACTCTAGGGGGTGGTTCTTCTGGAACACAACCAAAAAACACTTTCAGACTGAAGAGCAGACAGGATTCTGCAGTTCGTTGTTCCAGACAACATGCATAAGCATGAGAACAGCCAATGCTCCTCTCAGAAGCAATGCTATGTGGCACAGCTACTTTAATGCCAGATGAAGGCAGGCTGTACTCTGCAAACACGCAGGCTGATTTCTGTCCTAATGAGACAAGCTTTGTGGTGCCTACGGTTGAATCACTAGTCTCACATAGAGGTTAAATATGACAGAAATGAGAAATCATCCCTCAGAGCTCTAACAGAAGGAAGACCTAATGTTGCTCATAAGGGAAAAGGAAACTGTAGTCAGTGACAGGCTATAAGGGAATAAAAAAAAAAACAACCAAAACACTCACTTATTAGTTTTCCTCAATGGTGGGATTAGACAGTTTCTAAAACAAAAAGCAGCATCCATACTAATGGACAGTAAGGCTGAGTTGTTCACTGCCATTCAGGCTGGATTGTCCAACTGAACTCTCAACCACACCATGCCTTCTGCCAGAATCTCAAGCCCATCATACAGAGCCAAGGGCTCCCAGCTGTCAGTCAGAATGTAAGCGACCCTCGTTTTCTGCTCATTTTCTATGTAAATACATACCGCGTTAGGGACGTCGTAAGCCACCCCCTTTCCAAAGACTGGTGTGGTCAGCCTGGAGTACACATCTTCTGCATTCAAGTCTTCATTTTTGCTGTTGAACAGCAGCGCAGCAGCATCGCTGCCCAGCAGGTACGTAAACGTCTTGCCAACCATAGTGAAACTGAACACAGGTCCGTACTGAGAGGAAAAAACACCCGTTTGTTTTAAATAATAGGAACACAAATCACGGAGTCGTTACCTCTTTACAAGCTTCTACAAATCACTTCTCCTAAGAAACACATATAAACTGCGTAAAATAGAAACATTTTAAGCCATATTTAAATTCTGTTCTCAATATAAAATAACACATCAGTAATAAGTCTAATTAATATCTGTAATCTTGTGAGATGTAGGATCATTAAGTGTCAAAAATGGAAATTAAAAAACTACTATAGAGAGACCACCAGACACGCGGGCTCCAGAAACCAACGCACACTGCTTTGGAAAAAAGACTGGGTCTGCAGTTATGCACTGATAATATAAGATTTTAACATTTAAAAGTCACCTCCAGCAGATTCCCACAGCTGAATTTGTCTTTCTCCAAGTTAATCTAGCTGGGATTTATGCTTATGACTTTGGACATTTTAGACATGGTAAAACATGTTGGTGCATCTTACTTTGCTGGAGAGAATTAAGGCTCTGCTGCCTTAGTCCATTTCTTTGGGGCTATTCCAATTTCTGGGATTCTATACCCCACTCTTCTGGTAGAGCGGAGGACCTCAACATTCATGCAGTCACCTGCAGAGGGGTCAGCTCCATCCCAGCCTGCTCACAGACACATCAGCACAGAGCACTGATCAGCACTGTTAACAGTTTCCAATTAAAGCAAGAAATAACACCGTGAATGCAGATTTTTAACGTGCGTGATCCAACTCTGAGCCTCACCCAAAGACTTTTTAAAGACAGGAGCTGTTTCAGAGAGCACAACTATTTCTGTAACACCAATGCACTGCACACAAGATGTGAAAAAGCCACAACCTCCTGCACACTTCATATTCCATATTTGAGAAAATAGGAGGGAATTCACTGCCTGTAAACAGATCCCAACAAGCACACAGCAACGCTTTGGCACTGCTCAGCCACCCAGGACAGCACACCTTGTCATAGGCATTTTCCAGAAACTCAATAGGGCTCTTTCCAAACGCTACGGCATGTCCGAGGAATGGGATGCTCGAGGGGATGTGAGGAGGGTGGTTCTGCAGAGGAAAGAAAAGCAAATATTGAATTTTCTTCAGAGTAACACAGCACTATGTTCAGCACAAGAGTTGCACACGCACTCTGCTCAAGAACTTCGGTGAAAAAAGCGACTTCGATCGACACGACCTTTTACAAGAGGGCAGGGCTGCTTTTCAAACCACTCGGCCAGGTCGCCGACCCGCCCTCCCGCTCCGAGAGCGACGCCAGAGAGTACCGCAACGGACAGACGGCAGACGCCGGGAGGCGCTGCCCGCGGCCCCTCCGCACGGTGCCGCACAAGGGGCCGAGGCCGCGCCCCGACACGGCCCGCCCGGGGCAACCGGACGCACCGCCCGCTCCCCGCGTGCCCCGCGCCTACCGTCCGGCCGGCCCCGACGTGGCGGCGGTATCCCAGCTGGAAGAGGTAGCCGAGGCTGAGCGCGAAGGCGGAGGCGGCCAGCAGCAGGGACAGCGGGTTGCCGACGGCGGCCCGCTCCAGCAGGCTGCCGCCCACCTCCAGCAGGCTCAGCATCGCCTCGCGCTCGGCCGGTGCCGGTACCGATGGCGACCGCGAACCGCTACCGCGCACCACGGGGGCGTGCCCGCAGCCGGCCGGCCCAGCCACGGCGCTGGGCTGATCTCTGCCCATGTGACGACTGACGGCGGCCCGGCCAATGGGCGGCGGCGCGCCACGGGGTGACGGCATCGGCCGGGCTGCGACGGGCGCCATTGGGCGGGCGGCGGGGCGGGGCGGGGCCGGCGGCGGCGCCGGAGGAGACGGGGGCGGGCGGTGGCCGGGGTGCGGGCAGTGCGTTGTGCCGGCCGTAGCTGTGTGCGCTGGGGCTCGAAGGACTGTGTAAACGCTGTAACGATGCTCCGCAGCCCTGTCGGCGCTGTCCTGGCGCTGCCAGCCGCCACTCTTGCTTGACTCTTGGGGACAAAGGGTGAATGTCTCCTCTCCAAGCATGGGCAGTAGGAAAGGGCAGATTTAAAAAATAAAAAAAGTCCAGGAAGGTGACAGGAAACAGCAAATGGTACAGATAAGGAAGGCGAGGAGAGGGCTGTGAGGCTGCGGTCTCCCAGGGCAAGAGAAGGTCCCAAGAACAACTTGAGGGAGGCAGAGAGCATTTGGTCTTGGTGTAGGGTGAGATTGAGCCGGTGGGGGTGTTACAAAAAACACAGCACTCTGCTGCTGATGTTCCATGGTGCCAGGCATGCATTTGGAAAAACTCCTCAGCACAGCTTATGGTAGGGTCACATCCTGAAGTCAGGCACAACCACACTGAGAACCAAAGCAAGGTGGGTGCAGCCGCTGGATGCGCTGACACGGCGCTGTTCCAAACCAAAATGGTAATGTGAGCACCAGGAACTATTCCCAGACCTGAGCTCTCATAATCTTCATTGACAGATACTTTCTTCATTCTAGGGGCAGGCCTTCAAAGCAAACACAAGTGCAGTTTCCACGTTCAGCTGCTACCTTTAATCTACACAGGTGCAGAACTACAGTGAAGACAGAGAACATCACACTCACAAATATCACATTTGTGACAACGCAGCTGTCTGGACAATACAGATGTGTTATCCTGGACTCACAGTTCCCTATTTCGAAACTCAAAGCTCCCATATGCTGCACTAATTGGGAAACAAACAGCACATCTCTTCCTGCACTGCATACTGGTAAGCCAGAACAGTAACACAGCACTGGAGCTCAGTGCCTGCTGCACATGTTCAGAATGCTGCCCCTATTTTCATACATCCTCAGAAAACACTCTGGAGTTGGTGCTGAATGACATGTCAAAACCACACACATACAGCTTGTTTCCGCTCAGAAACACCATTCAGGAATTTAAACAAGGAAACCCCAGCAGTGACTAACATAACTTGATGTGATAGATTCACTCAAGTCTACTGAAGTTTTCATCAGTTTGACACACACTTTCTAACAATTAGTTCACATTAGAAATAAGGAAGTGAATTTTTGATTCTTTTTTACACAAGCAATCTTTAAAAAATGAATCTAAGATTATGAATGTTTTCTAAATACACACTGAGCTCTTATGATGATGTTGTGATCACGTGATAAGAATTAATGGGGGAAAAAAGAATGACAAGACAAACCTTTGTTCCCTTCGTAAGTACTTGTTTGGACATCACACGTTTAGAACGTCACCGATTGTGCACAGAGCTTTAAAGCTTTCACTTTGCTGGTTAGATGATGCATGCCTGTCATTACCAGCATTCTGATCAGTTTCTCTATCATTTCACCATAAGTTAGGGCTTGGTTTTCACTGATCCAGATGTCCAGCGCCTTGGTGATTTTCTCTTTCAACTTAAGAGCCCTGTTTGGGAAAAAGTTGTGAAGTAAACATCTGAGAAAATAAAAGATTTGTAGATAGTTACTACATTTTGCACAGATATTCTGTATTTAACAGAAGCACTGTGAATTCTGTAATCAAAATACTGCGTGTTAACTTCTTAACTTCATAACTTCGTAATGAAAAGGGAAATTGGAAACATAAAATGAAAAGGTACAGTTACAAACAGCTGTCCCTAACCTGGTATTTTGCAGAGCCTTGATGTCAGTCTGACCAAGCTGTAGTTTCTGGCAGAAGAATTCAAAATCTTCAGAAGGCACATTGCCAGCAATCATTTCTATCATCTTGTGCAATATTTTCTCTAAATATAACCACATAAAACATGTAATTAATAATACAGAATCGTGTATCTTTTCTATCAGATGTTTTGTAAATAATGCTAATCTGCTTTGGGATTTTGTTAACTCCCAAACACCATTTCCAAGGTGATGTCTCCATCCTGGTGGACAGACCACCTCACCATTTCTGGGCGATGATCTTTCAGGTCTGCCTCCCTGACAGCCCTGCTGGGAAGAAGTTTGGGAGCTTTTCATTCTTTTCAGTTTGAAGCAGCACAGCTCCAAGCTCCCTTTGTTTGAGGTGGGAGAGCAGGGTGTGCTTCCAGAACATACACCATGAGTTACAGGAAGAGCAAGCTGGGGAGCGACAGCTTTGAGAGCGCTTTTTACAGTAATCAACTGCCTCACAGCTCTGCTCACCATCAGGTAAGAGTGAAGCAGATTGTCAGAACACCTGCACATACCTGAACTGCTCATAGATGCTAAGAATACCATTTTTTCCTCTCCCTTCTGTTGACTGAAAACAAGTGTTACTACTGACAAGAGTTTTCAGCGTTTATACTGCTTAAGGTGAAGCAGTGATTCAAATATTTTGTTCTCTTTGATCATAATCAGGTCGTGAAAGGACTACTGTGGGTTCAGCCGAATCACAGCGTCAGGGAACGCTGCGTGAAACAGGCTCCGCTCCATGAAACCGGCAGCGCGCCCTCCAGTCGAGGATAATTGCAGGGCGTGCTGGAATAAGATTCAACATCGAAAACCGGCAACGGGAATGAGGGCACCGGACTGCCTCCCAGTGACCAGGAGTGTAACTGCAGGCAGGCAGCGCCTCCTGCCTGAGGGGCAGCGAGTAAGGCAGCAACGTTTTAGTCAAAAGCAAGTACAGCACAAGGATAACATCTGATAGGCCTTCAGTGTACCATGCTCGATAATGATGGGTAGGAAGGCCACAGAGAAGTCAGGATATAGGTAGATATTGAGATTTTGCATTCTCAAGAGCTGAAAAAGAGCTAGGGAAGTTAAGAAAGGAGGAAGATGCTATTCTACTCTCAGTAAAAATTGCCTCTCTGATGGATAGAGTTGAAGTAACCCTAAGCTTGTGTATTTTATTTAACTGTGTCTGGCTTTCTGGTTTGAATACAAAACTCAAGACCTCGATTTCAGTTTTAAGCTGTCAGCTTCCATTTCTGATAAGAGTCCTCATGGAACAATATCACCTTAGTTCTTAAAGCAGTTCTCTTATCAGTGAGCCATGCAATAATAAAATATGAATCTTGTTTCTATTATGCCCATGCAGTACAACATCACACTAACCATCACCTCAATATTGCCTACAGTAACAGAAGTCAGTGAGGAACAGAAACAGAACTAATAATGATACTGCCTTCTGAAAACAATGGAGTTTCAACAGCCGCTGCTGGAGCTACCTTTAATGCACAAAAATACCCGTGTACGTTTTTAACATACCATCTCTTTCATTAGCACTTTCCAGATAGCATAGAATGGGATGTAATTGCTTTCCTTTGCAGATATCTTGTAGTGGCTCAAACAGAGAATTTCCATCAAAGTTTATGTCTTTCAGCAAATAAAGGTGACGAAGGCCAGCAGGCAAATATCTCAGCCGATTTTCTGTTGAAATATATAAGCATACTTAATTTCATCTAAAAAAAAAAAACAAAAACAAAACAAAAAAAAACATCCTTTGTCCATAGGATTTTAAATTATTTCAGTCAGAAAACATCTGAATACATTTGCAAAGCAGCCTAGCTGTCTGTGAAGCACAGCAGGTAGGCAGGAGGGATCACTTCCTGGGATACCTCAGCTCGTGGTGAACATACTGCTTTCCTAGACAAACAAGACTCTGTTCCTGTCTCTGCACAAGAGAGCCATGAGCTTCAAGGTGAATTAAGCACAATGTGGAACACAGCAGCTGTGCTGCTGTGATATAACTGAGAACATGTTGTGCAGCTCTGCTTCACACCCATCTCTGTCATCACATCTCTAACAGCCACTTGGCAACCCAGTAAATCAGCCACCAAAAAAGGACAACGGACTGTGTTGTATCAGTGATACAGAGCGGACATCTGGACACGCAGATACACATCCTTTGCAACAGAAAAGTGTCAGTCTTGCACACAACAGAAAAATGAAGGGGTTGAATGCTTGATACTTACCACTAATGTCAAGGTGCTGCAGACTTCTTAGCGATGTAATAGATCTGGGGAGCTGGCTGATCTCATTGTTATTTGCAATTAGATGGACCAAAAACTTCAGTTCCCCTATGCTGTCAGGCATTTCCTTTAACGCGTTATGAGATATGTCAAGCTCCCTGAGGGAAACCAGTTTGGAAAGCTCCTCTGGAATTTTAGTTAACTGATAAAAATAAGAACACAATTCATTCACTTATATACAACTATTTCTCTTCTGTAAAAAGTTCAAAGGTAACTTTCCTGCAAGCAAAAGTACATTCCTTAATTCCAACAATAAAAGTTATGAACTCCTATTCTAGTGGAAGCTCGTTTAGTATTTTCCAATAAAAATATTGCTGCCAAGCACAGAATTTTTCAGCAAAATTCCTAAGGCATAATGATAGAATGACAATTGAAAAGCCAAGCCTCTATTGATGGAACTTCAAGAGCGATTATTTTCATCATTACTATCATTAATGAAAGATTTTACCCTCTCAGAACACTCAACGCATTTAAAACAAAAAAAGAAAAAATACTTTTTTTTTTTTTTTCTATTTTGGTTCTATTCATCCCTTGGTCTTTTCTAATTTGCACCGTTCCTTTAGGAACTTTAACTGTTCTCCAGTTATTGTGGAAACAAGACTATGATAGCAGATTTTTTGTGTCTGAGAGAAGTAACCCCTTGGAAGATATAACCATACTTGGAATCATACAAACAAACCTGAGACTTTTCT